CACATTGCTGTCCCCCCACCCCAGGGCAGAGTTTCGGTAGCTCCATAGGGAGCCCCACCGAAGGCCCCAGTGGGGGTGTCCACATGCGGTTCCCCCAACCAGGGCAGCGTTTCGTAGCCCCATAGGGAGCTCCACCGAAGGCCCCAGTGGGGGTGTCCACATGCGGTTCCCCCACCCAGGGCAGCGTTTCGTAGCCCCATGGGGAGCTCCACCGAAGGCCCCAGTGGGGTTGTCCACATGCGGTTCCCCCACCCAGGGCAGCGTTTCGTAGCCCCAAAGGGGCTCACCGAGGCACCCAGGGTGGGGTCACATGCGGTTCCACAGGGCAGCGTTTGTAGCCCCAGATGGACTGCGTCGAGCTCCACCGAAGGCCCTAAGGGGGTGTCCACATGCGGTTCCCCCACCCAGGGCGCGTTCGTCGCCCCAGAGGGAACCCACCGAAGGAACCCACCGAAGGCCCCAGTGGGGGTGTTCGCATGCGGTTCCCCCACCCAGGGCAGCGCTTCGTGGCCCCATAGGGAGCTCCACCGAAGGCCCCAGTGGGGGTGTCCACATGCGGTTCCCCCACCCAGGGCGGCGTTTCGTAGCCCCATAGGGAGCTCAACGCAGGACCAGTGGGGGTGTCCACATGCGGTTCCCCCACCCAGGGCAGCGTTTCGTGGCCCCATAGGGAGCTCCACCGAAGGCCCCATTGGGGGTGTCCACATGCGGTTCCCCCACCCAGGGCAGCGTTTCGTAGCCCCATAGGGAGCTCCACCGAAGGCCCCAGTGGGGGTGTCCACATGCGGTTCCCCCACCCAGGGCAGCGTTTCGTAGCCCCATAGGGAGCTCCACCGAAGGCCCCAGTGGGGGTGTCCACATGCGGTTCCCCCACCCAGGGCAGCGTTTCGTGGCCCCATAGGGAGCTCCACCGAAGGCCCCAGTGGGGGTGTCCACATGCGGTTCCCCCACCCAGGGCAGCGTTTCGTAGCCCCAGAGGGAGCTCCACCGAAGGCCCCAGTGGGGGTGTCCACATGCGGTTCCCCCACCCAGGGCAGCGTTTCGTAGCCCCATAGGGAGCTCCACCGTAGGCCCCAGTGGGGCTGCCCTCATGCGGTTCCCCCACCCAGGGCAGCGTTTCGTAGCCCCAGAGGGAGCTCCACCGTAAGGCCCCAGTGGGGGTGCCCGCATGCGGTTCCCCCACCAAGGGCAGCGTTTCGTGGCCCCACAGGGAGCTCCACCGAAGGCCCCAGTGGGGCTGCCTGCATGCGGTTCCCCCACCCAGGGCAGCGTTTCGTAGCCCCATAGGGAGCTCCACCGAAGGCCCCAGTGGGGGTGTTCGCATGCGTCTCCACTACCCAGAGGTAGCGGCGCTGAAAACGATATTCACACTTGCGGTATTCACAGTTGCATATGGTTGGGTCCTTCGCCAGGCTAATTTTTTGTTTTTTTCCCCAAGCATCTTGTGGTGTTGGGTCCTCGTTTTAGAGAGACAGCGCCCCGCGTCTCCTTCCTTCCTTCCTTCCTTCCTTCCTTCCTTCCTCCCCCTCCTCCTCCCTCCTCCCCCTCCCCCTCCTTGCCTTTGCTCTCGGCACACCTCTCGCACGTTTCGTAGCCCCATAGGGAGCTCCACCGTAGGCCCCAGCGGGGGTGCCCACATGCGGTTCCCCCACCCAGGGCAGCGTTTCGTAGCCCCAGAGGGAGCTCCACCGAAGGCCCCAGTGGGGGTGCCCGCATGCGGTTCCCCCAGCCAGGGCAGCGTTTCGTGGTCCCATACGGAGCACCACCGAAGGCCCCAGTGGGGGTGTCCGCACGCGGTTCCCCCAGCCAGGGCAGTGTTTCGTAGCCCCATAGGGAGCTCAACCGTAGGCACCAGTGGGGGTGCCGGTTCCCCCACCCAGGGCAGCGTTTCGTAGCCCCACAGGGAGCTCACCGTAGGCCCCAGCGGGGGTGCCCGCATGCGGTTCCCCCACCCAAGGCAGCGTTTCGTGGCCCCATAGGGAGCTCCACCGTAGGCCCCAGTGGGGGTGCCCGCATGCGGTTCCCCCACCTTGGGCAGCGCTTCGTGGCCCCATCGGAACGTCCACCGTAGGCCCCAGTGGGGGTGCCCGCATGCGGTTCCCCCACCCACGGCAGCGTTTCGTAGCCTCATAACGAGCGCCACCGTAGGCCCCAGTGGGGGTGCCCGCATGCGGTTCCCCCCCCCCAGGGCAGCGTTTCGTGGCTTCATAGGGAGCTCCACCGAAGGCCCCAGTGGGGGTGCCCGCGTGCGGTTCCCCCAGCCAGGGCAGCGTTTCGCAGCCCCATAGGGAGCTCCACCGAAGGCCCTAGTGGGGGTGCCCGCATGCGGCTTCCCCACCCAGGGCAGCGCTTCGTAGTCCCATAGGGAGCTCCACCGCAGGCACCAGTGGGAGTGCCCGCATGCGGTTCCCACGCCCAGGGCAGCGTTTCGTGGCCCCATAGGGATCTCCACCGAAGGCCCCAGTGGGGGTGCTTGCATGCGGTTCCCCCACCCGGGGCAGGGTTTCGTGGCCCCATAGGGAGCTCCACCGAAGGCCCCAGTGGGGGTGTTTGCGTGCGTCTCCCCTACCCAGAGGTAGCGCCACCGAAAACATATTCATATTCGCGGTACTCACAACTGCATATGGTTGGGTCCTTCGCCATTTTTTTTTTTTTTTTTTTTTTTTTTTTGTTTTTTTTGTTTTTGGTTTAAGTGTCTTTCTCACATGTTTCTATAAACTTTTAATAATTGGAAAGTTTTTTGATTCGGCACGTCGCGCGGCGCGTCCCTCTGGCACGGTGCCGTGGCACGTCTATCGGCACGTCCATTGGAACGTTCCGTGGCGCGTCCCTCTGGCACGTCCCGCGATGAGTCCCCGTGGCACGTCTCCTGGTTCGTCCCTGGCGCGACCCTTGGGACGTTCCGCGGCGCTTCCCCATGGCGTGTCCCCGTGCCAATCAATTAGCTCTCGGGCAAATATTATGTGCTCAGGCAGCTCGAGCTTCAGATCCAGATCAGTTCGGTCAGGACTCGGATGCAAAGGAGACTCGGTCCACAACGCTACAGAGTGCAATCGCAGCATGGCACATCGCAACCCACCACGGCGCAGCACAGCACAAGCATCTGGCACGGTACATAAATATCGATACACTCAGCGTTACAATTGCCCGTTGCCCAATCAGGTGTCTTGAAAACGTTGCTATGTTTCACATTTCTATATTCCTTTCTGGGCTCGTGGGTCGATCATGTTGCGTACTCGCTTTTCCCGCTTCCCAGCGCTCCCTCAGGGCCTTGGAGGCACTTCAGATCGCTCCAAGACGTCCCACGAGGCCCCGAAGAGGGCCCCAAGACGGAACAGGAGGCTCCCCAGACAATCCAAGTGTACCCCAAGAGCGCCCCAAGAGGGGGCCCATAGGGGGACCGCGAACTGATATCTCGAGGTCTCTGGCCCCAGAGGCTCACAGTAGGTACCCGGAGGCCACCAGGAGGCCCTCACGAAGCCCAGTGAGGCCCGAAGAGGCTCCCAGGAAGCCCCAAGAGGCTCCCAGGGAGCCCCCAGGGAACGCCCAAGAGGCCCCCCCAAACACCCCAACAAATCATGTCCCCAGAAAGCCTTCCGGGGACATGGTTTCCCGAGAGTCTCTGGAGGCTCCGAAGTACCATCGTGCTACTGGAGAGCTGTCTGGGAATTTGACTGGGAACATGACTGATCTCCTTCTCGTGGCCCTCTGCTGATCGTTTCGCATAAAGTTGCCCCAAGTGCTCTCTTGAACTGACGACGACGAAGACGGCGAAACGACGAAGACGAGGACGATGACGACGACGGCGCTCCCCAAGAGGCGACGACGACATTACGACGACGACAACGGCACGTCCCAACAGACCCCCAAGACGCCCCCCAAACCCATGTTCCCAGAAGGCCTTCTGGGAACCCGATTCATCAGGCCTCCGCCCCCCCCACGCAGCCATCTTCCCCCAATGCCTTCTGGAATGCGGATTGACACGCATGGATCTCTCACTGCCCATAATGCGTTCAGCGTGATGGGCGCTTCTTCACTTTCCATTCAAACCATCTGTATTCCATTACTTCAGTGGGGCAGTGAGTTCGTCAAGGCCTTGGGGTTTGCCAGAACTTGAGCGCGCGCGATGGTTCTAGTATATATATATATATATACATATGTGTATACGACCATAGTACACAACACGTTTTGGACAAAACGCCATTAGGAGCACAACGGGAACACGGCGATTCCGATGGTACGTCCCGTGGTAGGTCCAGGGCCCGGGGGGAGAGCGTCTGTTGACAGTTTGAGATCCCTCCTGTGGCCTTTCTTGGAGCCCTCTTGCCTCTTGGGCCCCCCTTGGCCCCTTGAGCCGTCGGCAATTTTTTGGGTCAATGTGTTCCGTCTTGGACGTTTTTCAGTTACCATCATGCCACAATCTAGTTGTTTGATTGGTTCTGACTTTTGAGGCAGACCTTGACGGCTTTCGAAACGGCCCAAGAGGCCCTGAGTAGTCCCAGCACGGTCCCCTGGAGTCATATGAGGGCATGTGGGAAGTTTCGATGTATTCAAATCCACGCTCCAGAGGCCTCTGAACAAATCAAGCGATACGCGTCACGAGCGCCCGGAAGCGCCCAAGACAGCTCTGGCATCAGTGGTCGGGGCAATTCAGAGAGCATTGGTATTTCTCATTTTGTGGGCTCCAGGGAACTTGAGGACACTCCACTAAGAGAGCAGGGGTTCGCTGTCATAAAGACGGGTCGGTCGATTATTCCACATGCAGGGGTACAAAACAAACAAACATTTTTGCGTACTTCTCCCCCTTGCATGCTGCAGTGACGGAGACACTTTGGAGGCCATAGCAATCAATGTGAACATATTATTTCTTTACGCGGGGTTGCAGATTTCTTGGTGCCATCTGCATGGCTGATCTGTCACATGTCTGCTGCATGATCGTTTGCCGCTTCTCATTGGTTCTAGCATCATTTCACAGAGGCTTGTTTCCTGGCTCGTGCAAGGTGAAGGAATTCAAGACAGGCGTAGTGGAGGAGGCGAAGCCAGATGTGCCGAAAGCGATCATCGAGCAGAAAGCCAAGGATGAGGCCAAGAAGCAGAAGAAGGAACAGAAAATGCTGACACTTGGCGGCGAGAAGAAGAAGAAGGTCGTTCAGGACATGCAACTAGCCGTCCCCTTACCTTCAGGATTACCCCTCGGGTGATAGGGCGTTCTTTTTCGAATGCACATGTGTGTTTGAATGGGCACAGCCGTCGGCTTGTGATGGCATCACGTCAGAGTGGCCATCAGTCTAAATATCTATGAGTCAAAATATCTTCTACCAATCTAGCGTTTGAGCTGTCTAACTAGCCCGCCGCCTGCGGCAAACCCCGCCACCGGGCCAGCGCAGCAACGCAGCATCAAACAAGGTTGAGTCAATGACCTTGTCCAGTTCACTGCCGTGTCTGACTTCCGGCGGGTCTGGAGATGCACCTGCGTGTCCGCAGTTTCGTTTTCCTGTTCTTTCCTCGTTCGTCAGTCATTTTTCCTCCTTGCTCTCCTCTGTCCTCCTCCCTTCCTCCCGCCTCCCTCCTCCCTCCTCCCTCTTCCCTCTTGAAGGCATCATTGAGGCTTCTTTGAAACCTCTTTGTGGCTTCTTCCAGGCCTCTTGTGGCCCTCTCTAGGGTCTCGTCGGAGCCTATTGGAGCCCTTCGGGGTCCGTTGGGGGTCTCGGGGTCGTTTTGGGCGTGATGGTTCCGCCGAGCTCTCCCGAACCTGCTCGGTTGAACCATCTTTGGGGCGTTTGGGCGGGTCTTGGGCCGTCTGCAATCCCTCTGGGGGCGTCGTGGGGGTTCTCGGGCAGTCTTGGCGCCGTCTGGGGTGGAGGGAGTGGGGAGGTCGACATCGTTTTTACGACGTGCAAGTAGTTGAAGAGGAATGTATGGATATGTCTTTATGCGTATGCGCGCGCATATGCAGATTCATAAATGTACGTATGTTGAACTAGCCGTCTTGCACGCCATCTGCCGAACTAGCGATCAGATGAGCTATCCAGGTGTCGACACTTGTATCTGTAACTGCACGGTCTAACCTTAATGTTTACGATGTATCGATTTAGCAGCCTACCCAACTTTACGATCCAAATTCTTGTCGGGCTAGTCAGGCCATGATATATAAACATATTTTCCCATGTATGCATACATATCAATATGTAAGTGTAGGTATATATATCTATGCATGCATGCACATGTATACACATGCATGGCCGCACAAAGGTGACCCCCTCCTAAAATAATTTCGGCCTTTCCAGGCCTCCAGGATGCCCATGCAGCGCGACTCTTTGGGTTTCTGGGCCTCCTGGACGTCCCTAGCGGGCGTTGAAAACAGGTCCAACGGCGTCGGGAGGGCGCCTGGACGGCCTCACGGGAGGCCCAAGGATTTTCAGAAATTTCCGAGACACCTCAAGACGACCCCCCCAACCATGATTTTCTTCCAGGTTTTGTATGTTTGCGAACGTTCGTGTGTTCGGTCTTTTGGGCGTCCGAGATCACTCTACGTTGGGGTCGAGAGATGGCCCCAAGAAGTCCCCAGAGGTTACCGAAGGGTTCCCAGGAGGCCTTCAGGGGCGTTCAAAAAGCCCTCACGAAGCTTTTGAGAGGTTTTCTAGAGACCCCACATGGAGGAGCCTCCGCAAACAAAATCTGAAAAGGAGCAAGGGGAATAGCTCACAGGGAATTGCGATAATGAGGAACAGGAAAAAGGAAGATGAGGGAACGGAGACAAGGAAAAGGAATAGACAGACAAGAACGTAACCAGCTTCCCCTCTGTCTCCCTCTCTCTCTCTCTCTTTCTCTCGCGCTCTCTATCGCTCTCTCTCTCCGTCTTTTCTCTCTCTCTCTCTCTCTCTCTTTTTTTTTTTTTTTTTTTTTTTTTTTTTTTTTTTTTTTTTTTTTTCTCTCTCTCTCTCTCTCTCCCTCTCTGCAGATATGTAGTTCATTCCGCCTGCGTGTGAAACTTGCGCGGCCAATACGCTTGGCACGAAGCGCCAATATGCTTGGCTCTCGGGAGCCTCTGAAGGGCATTTGTGCAGCCTCATGGGCGCCTCTTGTGTGTCATCTTGGGCGTCTCTTGGGGCCTCTCTAAGGTGGTGGTGGTGGTGGGCTGTGGTGGTGGTGTTGGTCGTTGTGGCGGTGGTGGTGGTGGTGGTGGTGGTGGTGGTGGTGGTGTGGTTGGTGGTGGTGGTGGTGGTGGTTGTTGTGGTGGTTGTGGTGGCAGGTTGTGGTGGGGGTGGTGGTGGTGGCGGTGGTGGTGGTGGTGGTGCGGTTGTTGTTGAATTCTCTGAAGAATAATTATTGTTGATCCCCCCACCGGTGCATACTGTTTTTTCTCAATCAAAGTGTGCCCCTCGACGCTCGCACCCAGTTTTTTGACAGGGGAAGTCTTGATGCTCGAACTGGGCCGTTGGTCCCCGGGTTACAACAACAACGGCTCCCGCCTGAGACTTCCTCACAGTTTAGCCAGGACCCCCGCTCCCGCCCGACACTTCTTCGCATTTTATTCAGGAATCACGCTCTCGCTTGGGCCTTCCCTTTTTATTCAGGAATCGTTCTCCCGGCGCTCTGGAGTCGCGCTCTCGCTGGAGACGTGCTTGCAATTTACTCAAGAATAGTGCCCTTGCGTTGGAATTTCTTGCAATTTGCTCGAGCGCCGCGCTCCCGACACCCAGGCACCCAGGAGTCGCGCCCGTTGTGGCCCCATGTGCATGCCCTTCGTGGCCCCGTTGTCGCCGTTTGTGGCCCTCTCACTGTCCTACGTGGCCCAGTTGCAGCCCTTCGTGGCCCCCTCGCTGCCCTTGTGGCCCCGCATTATCCGCCCTTCGTGGTCCCCGCTCATTCGCGCTCTTCGTGGTCCCATACGCGTTCTCTTCGTGTCCCCGCTGTCGCCCTTCGTGGCCTACTTCGTGCCTTTCGTGGCCTTGCTGTCGTTTTTGCTCGCTCTCGCTTTCGCTCGTCGTCGCCGTCGTCGTCGTCGTCGTCGTCGTCGTCGTCGTCGTCGTCGTAGTCGTCGTGGTCGGTCCCCTGTCCGTCCCTCTTGGGGTCGGGTCGACGGTCCGCGGCCGCCCCGCCGATCAGCGCTTCTGCTGGCCATGCCGACGGTCCGCGGCCGCCCCGCCGCTTGCCAGGGCCCGGCCTGCAGGGAAGACGAAGAGGGCGGGTATCGAGGGTTGTGGAAATACGCGTTATTGGACGCTCGAGCAGGTAAGGGCGAACAGTCTTAACATTATTATTGTTGTTGTTGGTGGTGGTTGTTGTGGTGGTGGGTTAAGGTGGTGGTGGTGGTGGCGTTGGTGGTGTTGTGGTTTGTCGTGGTGGTTGTGGTGGTGGTATTGGTTGTGGTGGTGGTGGTGGTTGTTTGTGGTGGTGGTGTTGGTGGTGGCTGTTTGTTGTGGTGGTTGTTGTGGTGGTGGTTGGTGGTGTGGTGGGTGGTGGTGGTGGTGGTGGTGGTGTGGTGGTTTGTGGTGGTGGTGGTGGTGGTGGTGGATTGTGGTTATTGTGGTGGCAGGTTGTGGTGGTGGTTGTTGTTCTGGTGGTGGTGTGGTGGTTTGTTGTGGTGGTGGTGGTTGTGGTGGTGGTTGTGGTGGTGGGTGGTGGTGGTTGTGGTGGTGGTGGTGGTGTTAGTTTGGTGGTGTTGTGGTGGTGGTTTGTGGTGATGGTGGTGTTGGTGGTTCGTGGTGGTGTGGTGGTGGTGGTGGTGGTTTGGTGGTGGTGTGGTGGTTGTTTGTGATGGTGTTGGTGGTGGTGTGTTGTGGTGGTGGCGGTGGTTTGTGGAGGTGGTGCTGGTGGTGGTGGTTGTGGTGTGGTGGTTTGTGTTGGTGGTGGTGGTGGGTTGTGCTGGTGGTGGTGGTGGTTGTGGCGGTGGTGTTGGTGTGGTAGATTGTGGTGGTGGTAGTGGTGGTGGGTTTCTGTGGTGGTGGTTGTGGTGGTGAGTTGTGGTGGTGGTGGTTGTGGTGTGGTGGTGGTGGCTGTGGTGGTGGTGATGCTGGCTGTGTGGTGGGTTGGTGGTGGTGGTGGTGGGCTGAGGTGGTGGTGGTGGAGGTAGTCGTGGTGGTGGTGGCACTGATGGTGATCGTCGCTGAGTCCCCGCCGTCGGCGCTGCTGGCCGCTGCCAGCGTCGGCGCCGGCGCCGGCACGGTGGGTGGTGGGGTTTTGGACCCCCCCCCCTCTCCCTGGGCCCTCTCTGGTCATCGTCGCTGCGTCCTCGCCGTCGGCGCTGCTGGCGGCCGAGGGAGGGGGGTGGGGGTTGGACCCCCCACCCCTTGGGAGGGGGGGGGGGTTCGGGAGGGGGGGTGTTGGGGGGAGGGGAGTCCCCCTTGTTCTGATCGACGGCGCCGAGTGTTTGGGGGGGGGCCACCCCCCATTTTGAAACGCGCCGCCGAGTGTTCTCAAGGCAAGCGCCCGTGAAACGCGCTCTCTCTCTCTCTCTCTATCCGATATGGCGATCTTCTGTTTGATGTTATCTAACTGTTTAACTAACTGCTCGAGCATGTGCTCGACCATACCTTGGTCTATATAACGCACTGTACGACTAAACGTCCAGCAGTTCAAGCTTATTTTGTTCAATAGCTGTCATATTGCTCCATAAGGGCCTACCCTTGAACTTCAATTTGCGTTGGAAGCAATGACTTCTCGTTGTTACGCTTTGTTGGTGTCCTCCCATGGGGTCCCAGGTCTCGGGTGGCTCTGGTTGTCGCGACTTCCTCGTTGTTACGTCTTGTCGGTGTCCTCCCGTGGGGTCCCAGGTTTCGGGTGGCTCTGGTTGTCGCGCATTCCTGGTGGCCTCAAATGGGGCCGTGGTTGCTCTGATTTTCTCCTAGGGACCGCCCTCCGTGTTCTGGGTCCCGTTGGCTTTGGTTGTTGCAATATCGTCCCGTGTGCAGCTGACCGCAGTGGTTGCGTCTTCCTGGTGGCTGCTCGTGGTGTCCTGTGTCCTGCTGGCCCTGGTCGTTGCGTTTTTCTAGTGGCGTTGCGTGTGATCCAGTGTCCTGCTGGCGCTAGTTGTTTCGATTTTCTCGTGGCCGTTCAAGGGCTCTCAAGTCCCTCTGGCTCTGGTTGTTGCGGTTTTGCCTGGTGGCCGCCCGTGTTGTCCCGCTGGCGACGGCTGTTGCAA